CGAACCGTCGCACACCCAAGAACTGTGAATGCACATTTGCATGGTTTTGCATTTCCACTCTTGCTTCTTGCAAACTTGGGCGGAGCTGCTGTTGACCAATGGACAATTCTGCGAACGAGAAAAAAAAGTATGATTAATTATTCTTTTCCTAAATAAGCTTCTGCAAATCTACACAGTAAACACCGGTTTTCAAAGCTAACTTAGAATCCTCAGGCATCTCATATAATTTGATTTGAAAAGGGAAGAAAATACACACGGGTTTTTCTTCCTTCGTTCTATAGAAGGAAGGATTTTTTTATTCCGCTCAAGCTTTGCAGATATACAGTATTAATTCAACGTTATGTTATTTCAATGCAAAAAAATTATGGAAGTCGAGATGACACAGATATTCAAACACTAAAATTTCATGTAGACGAGGTAATCAGGCTACGATAGCTGATTATAAACATCGATGTTCATAGTAACTTGAAAACTTCTTCGTACAGTATAAGAATATTTTAGAATCATTTTTTCGAAGAATGTTGGACCAAAAACAAAACAAAACTTGACGCAAGCTCCGGCTGTTTTGTCAAGAATCTCTCTAATACTCTAAATTGCCGCCAAGACTTGAGCTCTTAATTGCCCACTGGCAGATCGAAAATTGCACAGCGCTTGATATTCATTTTATTTTATATCTCAACAAATTATTCGCTCCATCTTTGAGATCGAATGCCAACCTAAGACATCATTTCGAATTTCCGCAAAATTCCTCAGATCAATGTGTTTTATATAGAACATGGCCATTTTAAATAGTGAATTCACTGTTTAAGCCGCACCAGCGTTTCGGAGCCGAGTAGCACTGGAGTAGAAGAGCAACTTATACAGTCATGGTCAAATTAATGAAAGGTACTACAGTACAACACAGTAGCAATAAAGTTTACGTAACTTCTGTCCAATATTGCAAGAAATCACCACGACAATTTACTGGAAACTCTTGCCAACATACATCGACAGCAAAAGTTACTCAACCATGGCGTCAGGAATCATGTTTCCTTAGGAGTGACATCTGTCGATTCACTCAACTCTCCCACTCATATCATGTTAGGGAGTACAGTACAGTACAGCCTTTCTTCACTTACCCAAAAAATCCGCACGACAACCACAAAAAGTAAGTACGGCATGTTAACACAGAATAGGACAAGCGTTGGACATTAGAAAATGCCACACCCGCCAAAAATGCGTACACGTGGACAAGTATATAGTACAGTGCATTACAAAACAGGGCATATATAGAAAGTTAACAACTCACTTTTTCATCACTGGCATCCAAGCAATCCGCTTCGCCGTCACAATGCCAGCCGATCGGAACGCAACGTCCATTCGAGCACATGAATTCCTCGTTGGAGTCACAAGTGGGTTCCGGGCAACCCTTTTCGTCGGACCCGTCGTCGCAGTCCGGCGACTGGTCGCATACCCAGCCAGCATTGATGCACTTGCCATCTCCGCACCTGAACTCCGCTGCAGAGCAATTCCTGCCTATGCATCCGATTTATGATGGAAACTCGGGATTAGAAACTTGGTCCAGGACACACAAACGAAAATTGTCAAAAGAAAAATTTTGAGAAACGGGTCTTCCGGACCGGAGTGAAGAAGCGCAAATTGCACCTTTGGGAGGATGGTTCAAAACGTTTTCCAGCATGTTTTTTTTACGGTGCCAAGCTTCGAAGAACTGTACTGTAATAATCATCTGTAATTTGCGGTATCAATAATTCTAGAGACTCGTGAGCGAACAAATTTTCATTCGTTTAGGATTAGGTTTTTAAATGTTTCCTCACCAATTGACAAGAATTGCCGGGCTCAGAAAAATCGTTATCCTTGGAAAAAAAAATATACATCAGATCTCGGACACATTAAAAACGAAGTTTATCAATTCGAGATACAGAAGAATCTCGGTATAACGAATTATTCCGTACAACGAATTCGTCTTCCATGTCTTTTCCCGATAGGCATAATGTTATTTAAATTGCGATACTAAGATTTTATCTTTACAAAGAAGCTTTTTCCCAGGTTCCCAACAGCTTCGTTGTACCGAGTTTTTCCTGTACTCAACACATTAAGTGACTGGACAAGTGTGAGATTAACCTCAGTTATTCCAACTCATGGGGTGTACTGTACATCCATTTCTGATTCCCTGAATGTCACATTGGGAGAACCATTGGGATAGTGTTCAGGAAATTATCTCATCTTACTCTTATTCTAAATTTTTTTTAAATTTTCATCAATTTAACAAGAATAAAATGCAGGTAGACTCCGTCCACAATGATTTTGTCTGTATAACGAATTCTTTGGACCCATTGGGATTCTGCACCCTTCAATTACAGGATTGCCGCTAAAACGTTTTTTTTTTTTTTTG